CACTCTCCCTGCAGGCATGCTTCCGCCTGAAGACCTCCGCCTGGCCCGCTTACCCACAATCCAAGTTACCTCTCCTCCTGTAAGCCTTTGTTCAGACGTCACTTCCTAATGAGGCCTTCCTGAGAGCTACGCTTCTCCCAACCTGCTCCTGCTTCCCAGCTCTATTATCTCTATCCACCTCTCTCTCTTTTCCCACACCACTTACTATTTTTAAAAGGCAAATAGGGTTTTTGTATTATTTTTTTTCCAGATGTATCCCAAGATAGACATACAGTAGATGTCTAATAAACATTTGCTCCATGAAAATATATTTTAAATATAGTACAGGAGTGGTTATTATAATAATGACTGCCTGCCATTATAATATTGATTTTTCTTGCACCCAAAATAGGTCTTTCTCAGGTTCTCCTGAGTATGACAAAAAATGCCTCGGATCTTACAATAAGAAACATCTTTGTTTCCCAAGAGGGCAATTCAGCACATGATCCTTTGCACACTCCTCACGTGTGTAATGCTTGAAAGTGTCTTATTTATTTCTATGAGCACAGGGGAGAGATTTTAAAATCTATTCTACAGATAAGGAAACGAGCTCAGAATGATTAAGGCCTATGCCCAAAGTAACATAAATAATGTAACCAGGATTTGGCTTTAGGTTTTCTGACTCCCAAATTCAGGCTTCCTCTATCCTAAGGTGTTTGCATAGTGACATTCTGACATCCTTGCATACCTTTATCCAAGGTACACAAAATATCCTCACATTTCCTAAATAGAGATTCTTCGGTCTCCTTTTATTAGAATCAATGCCATGTAAACTTCCATGTATTCTATTAAATCAAATCATGCACTATACTAAATTTCACATTTTCAACCATCAGCAATCTGTACCGTACTCTAGTAAGGCCAGGCAAATACCTTCCAAATATTATCAATACCAAGGTTCTAACAACAGTTGAAGAGTTTCTAGTGAGTTACTCTGGTAAAGAAGAAGAATGAAGTAGGTAAAGGGTAAAGGCCTTTTTTTTTCTCTGAAGAAAGATGAGTAACAGGGAACAAAAGTGTCAAAGAATGAAGAACCTAGCGTGCATATCAAAACACTCACTTGAAGGAGAAAAAGATCATTGTGTTTACACAACGTCTCAAAGCTCTACATCAAAATTTAGGAAGAATATTTGACAAATTCTTGTTAATTACCATCAGCAGAATAAGGCAACCCTTAAAAAAAAAAGGTAACTCATAATATCCCCCCATCCCCCAAAAGAACCAGATGTTAGCAATATCTCCTGCTGGGTCCCTAAGTCTTAGAAACCAAGGGAAGGAACCTGTCCTCGTCAGAGCAAGACCTGAGAGGGACCCAGGAAAACAAGGAACTCTGTGACAATCATATCCTGTCAGTTGCCCACAAAACAAAAGTTGAAATTTGCAAACCAATTATGTTTTAAGATAAAAAGTAATTTTTTGAAAAGTTGAAAATAAAAAACGTGCAATTATGAAGAATCCATGCTTCCTAAAGGACTCTCAAAGTGAAAATACACATTACTAAAGGCAGTATGCACAATTAGAACTTTTGGCCGTGTTGGGAAGGGGACAGAATCTGAGTCAGGGAAGATAACCTCTTATTTAGTAACCACAGAACAGTGGAAATGTTCAACTACTTTATTTTAAAGAGTCAGTCCATGTTATTACAATTTTCCCAACTCTACAGATTTTATTTTTAATATTGGGGGAGAGAGGAAGGCTGTGCTAGACTAACTCACTATTAGAAAGCATTTTTCCTATTTGGGGGCAGTTTTGCTAGGTTCCTACTTAAGTGCAAGTTCTGTGTATTGTGAATCACAAGAAGGCTCACAGAAGGGATGTAACTTAACTAGGCTCTCACAGCGAGGGAGGATGAATGCTTGAAGGGCCAAGGAGGAAGCTTTCAGAGACAAATGTACAGTGGGTGGAAACCACTTGACAAGACATTTTTACCATTTGATTTAAAAAATATGTATCTTTTCTTTTTTAAAAAGCTTACCTTCTATATACAAATAAGGTTCCTTCTATATCAGTCTTCTCCTATAACAGACAACAAGTCAATTAGTTTTATCCCATAACCCAACCCCAAATAGTCCCAATGGAGAAATATTTCATGAACATCAACTTATTTTAAAATTAATCACTTTTGAAGAAGTCTCTCGCCCCACAAACATCTGTTACAAATTTCTTCTGTATCCCTTCTATGCTGTATAAGATACATCTTAGGGTATATGCAAAGTTCAATCCAGCAACATGTCTACATTTGTAGGATTTTTCCTTTTTAAATTTTAAGGAGAAAATCCTACAATTAGCTTTCACTTTTTAAAATCTTAGCCAGATTTCTTAATTTTAAAGCCAAGATGCTGTGTATAGCAATTTCTTCATTTTTAAAGTTTATCAAAGTTAGTAGTGAAAAATAAAAAAGAAATTTTACCTGATAGGATACTGTGCTTCATCATTGGGGGATTTTAGTATATTTTCATGAGCATCAAATTTTGTAGTTAGATAAGAATTACTGTCAACACAATTAGTTTGTTATTTTTAGAACTCTGTTGAAGAATCATGCATACTGAAACTAAACCTTAATGTAATCATTGGTCTCACAAATAATTTAAAAAACGTTTTAGTTTAAATGAAATGCTTTGATTAAGAAGGTACAACTTACAGCATCTTTGAGTGGCTGTGACAAATGTCTGTTCTAAACACAGCCACAATGTTAAAAAAAAAAACAAAACCAGCCTAATAGGACCTAAACATTTCAATGAAATCAGCAAACTGTTAGAAAACTAAATGTTAGTGTCATCAAATTGATTTTGCTGGGATAAAACATTAAAAGATATTTTAATCTTGATTTCTTCCAAGAGTAATTCCCTTGCTTAAATCATGAAACTTCCTAAGAACTCAGAGGCTTTTTCATGCCTTTCAAAGGTTAAGCTATTAGTATAAGAAACTGGTAATCAACTGTCTCATTATGAAAGAAAACTTGCCAAACAAAACTTTGTGCAAAGTTACAATTTACTGTAAGATAACAAAGAGAGAAAAGATTTTCATTAAGCTTTATGTGCCATAATCCAAATGAACAATGGTAATTCATTCTTCAAACTAGGTTATTATAGCTTGTATTTCATATTTAACACAAGGAATATTCCCAAATAGTAACTGTGTGAAAAACTAGAAATAAAAGCTTGCTAGTAATAAGTCTTGCCCTAAGTCCTCAATATTTATTTGTCTGCAAACCACATTTCACAAATGTGTATGTAGACCAGGTAAAGAAAAATGATTCAGAACAATTCAAACTTAATGTAATGCCTAAAACAGCTACACTTAAAAAAAATTTGTAATTTTGTTCTTTGTGGCTTCCTATACCTCCTTCTCTTCCAGGAGGTGAAGGAAAAAAAAGATAAAGGAGGACTTAGAAAACTCATCTGAATTAACTGTTTTTAATGCCAAATGATTTTCACAACATTATTGATTTAATATAATCTCTGTACCTATATTATATTGTAAAAACCATAATACGATACTAATATTTCAGAGTTTTGTTAGTGTATTTCACTCTTCACTGAAATGCGAAGGTCAGTCATTAATGAACTCAATCCAAAACACACTTACGGATTGTTTGCTAAGTGCAAAGCGTATATAGCTAGGTGAGTTAAATTATGAGTCAGAAGAAAATGGGAAATTATGTATTTAAAATAACAGACGATACTTCATACAGGGGGGCTAGCAAGTCAGCGAAATAAGACCTCAACGAAACTTTCGAACCCCCTTCCCGTGCAAAAAAACAAACAAACGCAGAAAATGCTTAGTCTGAAGGGCGCATGCAGAGGTGACATCACCAGCAGCGTCGCTGGAACGAGACGCATTTAAAGGGTCTCATTTCCTTCCAAAGGCTTCAAGGGAATCCAGTTAGCACGGAAGCCCTTTTCCTAAGTGCCTTGCAATCTTTTCCAGAACTCTGCCAACACAGTGCAGTTCGAGAAAAGCGGACTCATCTCCACCCTCTCGCTTCCAAGAACTGACCTAACTGGATTTCAAGCTTTAAATCCAAACGACCTCCGTGAGGGGGCTCTTGTGTGTCCGGTGGGGGCAGAGAGGGTGTTTGCTTCGGAGATTATGTATCCGTAACTTATCTAATAACCCTCAAAGCCTCAAACACCATCTTTCAGGCTTCGTTCTGACCCCACCGGCCCCATATCGTCCAGCACGTCCCCGGACCCGACCCCAAGGGACAGACCCTCCTCCCCCCCTCCTCTCTATCGGCTTCTCCCCCCGACGCCTTGGGCCTGCTTCCCTCGTCCTTTCCTCCAGTCCCCGCGCCCCCGGCCGGGCTCTTCTCCGGCCTCCCCGCGTCGCCCCCTCCCCACGGCGGTCCGCGCGGCCCCTTTAAAAGGCGGCGGCCTGACGGCCGACCTCGGCGGCCTGGCCGCACTCACCCACTGGTTGGCCTTGGGGCAGAAGGTGTACAGCGCGACCTGGCCCGTGAGGTCCGCGATGCTGGTGATGTAGGGGTCGTGCTGCTTCAGGGCCGCCAGGCTCATCTCCTGCCCGGCGCGACTCAGCGACTCCATCTTGAATTCCGGAGCGGACCCCGTCGGCGGGGGCGGAGTCACGGACAGGAAGGCACCATGAGCAGAGTCCCTTCCAGCTTTCTCAGCGCCTTCAACTTCCGCCTCTCCGGCGGGCCTCGCGGCGCGGTGGTACCGCAGCTACTATGTTCCGCTGCGTCCGCGGCCCGGGCACAGGGTTCCGGGAAGCGTCGTCAGGTCCCGTAGGCCCAACCTTTGGGGTTCGCGTCCGCGCCGCGCGGCCTTCCTGACGGGCGCGACTCTGGCGGTTCCCCGAAATGTCCCGACGAGCTTCCCCAGCGCGCCCGCCGGCCGCGGCCGCGGACCGACGCGGGCCTGCAGGACGGGTCGGGCAGCCGAAAGGCACAGAAGCGAGCGAGGGGGAGAAACCCGAAAATCACCTCAGACTCGGATCCCGCTCCATCACCACCGTTAGCGATTTGGTGTTTTTCTGACGCGGGGGCGTCTTGCTCTCCACTCCTGCGCCTTATTTTCCTCGTCTGAATCTCAGTGCATCTCTCCGCCTGGTCTTGGGAGGAGCCCGTGAAGGGCCGAGTCTGTCCTTCTCCTTTCAAAGCTTTAAAAAGATAACCCGCCCTTGGGGCGAACGTCTGCGGAGCATTTTAGGACTTTTTGAAGAGCCAGGTACCAGCTGAGAGTTAAACAAGGCCTGGGCACCACGGGGACCCCCTGCTCACCCACCCGCGCCCTCCCTGACGTCAAAAACACATGTCTTTACATCCAAAAGATTCCCCAATGGGACTGAACATTTTTGAAAGAAAAAAACCCCCATCATAGTTGTACTACCTACATCCCAGGACCATTTGTTCCTGGAAAGAGGTTTTGGGTCTTAAATCTTTGCAGAATCACGTAAGGAGTGTGCGTGTACCAAAGCGGACAAGGAAAGCGAGACTTTTCCTGCAACCTGCTGGTTCTGGGGGGGGGAAACGGACAGAAGGAGGACGGAGCCACGAACTGCACCTGGTCAGGGAAGGCCAGGAAGGCTTCCTAGAGGAGGTGATGTTTGAGTGAGTCCAGGGGGGAGTAGGAGGTCATCAGAGAAGAGAGGCAGGTTGCCTTTCACTTCACGGTGTGATGCTGAGGTAGGCAAGACGTGGTCATCATTTGACAGGTGATTTAACTGAAGCTGGGTAGAGGAGAACCACTGGCTCAAAATGCCCCCCTCGTCAGTGGGCATGTGGTATTGGCATCCAGACACGCCTGCCTTCTACCCCAGGGCCCTTTCCTCGGCCCCATGGCTGCCTTTCTTCCTCCTGAAGACGGAGTCCTACGCCCTTCCAACATTTACACAATCTGTACCCTAATTTTAAAAAATTACATGTATTTTTGAATAGGTAATACGCTCCCTTGGAACAATATTCAGAAGGCATACTTGAAACTGAATTTAGTTTTTTTTTTCTTTTTAAAATTATTGTATTTTTATTGAGATATAATTGACTTAAAACAGTTTATTAGTTTCAGGTGTACGACATGATGACTTGGTCCTTGTCTATATGGCAAAATGATCACCGAAAAGTTGAGTTAACATCTGGCACCAAACATAGTTAATTTCTTTTTCTTGTGATGAGAACTGTTCAGATCCACTCTTCTAGTTACTTGCAATTATGTAATATAGTAGTAGTCACCTTTTAGTTGCTAATATAGACATTTCCAGTATAGTCACCCTGTTGTGCGTTATATTCCTGTGACTTATGCATTAGCTTTATTTTCTCACATAGATTGCCCAAATAAGGCATTTCCTTTTTATTTATGATTTTTGACTGAACAAAGCTAGACCAGTGAAGAACACCATTTTAGGAAGTTTTTGTATTCAGAATAGAAAATCACTTCAAAATGCACATTCATGTGGTCCAAACACATTAATGTTGACTTTAATGTCCTTTACAGCTCTTAAGATATATTGAAGACATAGTGAATCCTTTGGAATTGAAGATCTTCTTGCTTTAGTTTGAGCCTGAATTTTACCTTCAATTTGTGAATCAAACCTTAAGACCTTTCCTGTGTCTTATACAACGGGCTTTGAGACAACGGAGACTGCATCTTAGGCTCTTAGGTCTCCAGTACCTAGCACAGCGCCTGGCAAAGTAGACTCAATAAATATTGGTGAGTGAATGTCAACTTAAGATCCAACTCCTTTAAAGCCACGGTAGAGACTGGTGGGAGGGGAGGAGAGAAGTGGGTGACTGAGGTCAGAGGTGGGAAGGCGTCTTCCTCTGCACTAGAAAACCTTTTGTCATTTTGAGTTGTGTTCCATGAATGTCAGTTATTTTTTTGGAAAAATAATTTAAAATATGAAAACCTAAAACCCAATTAATCCAAGCCCACCTCTCATCCGCCTCTGAGTGCCTTTGTGGTAAAAAATAAAACTTTCCATTTAAAATCATGAGGTCTAATGTAAAGGGCACTAGAATACAAATCACAAGATCAGTGTTTTAGTTCCAAATCTACAAGCTGTGTAACTTCTTCAGTTAGTCACAGACTTGCCATTTCTCCAGTGTAAAATCCCAAGTCCTTGCCATGGCCTAGGAGACATCGCTCAGTCTGGCCTCTGGCTCTTTCCATCTTCATTTCCTATGAATTGCTTTTAGTAGTCACCCCAGCCCATTGACCCCCCCTGGTTATTCCAGTATGAGTGCCAGATGAGACTTGCTTCAGGGCTTTTGCACTTGTTCCCCCTTTCTAGAACTCTCTCCCCGCGATATCCCTGTGATATCCTTAGGGCTGATTTCCTTATTGTAGTCCTATCACTTACTTGCAAGTTGTAATCATTTTATTTACTTGTGTGTTGTCTGTCTCATCGCCTCTGTGAGGCAGGGACCATGTCTGTCTTGTGTACCATTACCTTCTCGGCGCCAGCACAGAGGCGAGGTCTCCCACTTACTTGCTGGATTAATTGGAATGTGAGGATGGTCTGTCTTTATTGCGTAAACCTGACATCAACTCTGCATCTAACAAAGCATTTGTTTGTCATACTGTTAAGCAAATAATGATGCCTGATTTATTTTGATTCTTAGGCTCTGTGCTTCCCCAAGCAAACATTTTATTTTTAGGATAGGCCAGAACAAATATTCAGCACCTCTTCAATCTTGCAGTTTTTCCCATGTCCATTTTCTCTCTCTCTCTCCATCTTCCCTTTTTCCCCTCTCCTCACTGTCCCTCGACCTTTCTCGCTCAGATTTTAATGATTTATTCTAGAAGTAGCTGGTCATGACTGTTTGCCTTTTTTGGGCAGAGAAACCAAGCTAACTTAATTTTCCCAAGGTCATATAATGATTCATTTGCTGAGTTGAGATTAGGATCTTCTAGCCTTAGCTTCCAGGTAGCTCAGGTATCTTGTTACCATTCTGCCTGGCAGAGTCTTAAATTACACTGGCTTCACGTGAGTGAAGTTTGTCATCCTGGCGCTGCTGTTTCACTACTAATGTTTATTTTTACATGATTGATATCCAAAAGGTTGTGGACTTACCATAAAATTCATTACTGGTCCTTACTGGATGCTTAAGATGGGAATCTTTTCTCCAGAAAGGCCTCACATGTCTATACTTTAAAATGTTACTTTATGAAAGTATGTTAAAAGGTGCTAGGTGTTTTTTAGAAATACATTGCTGATATGTGAACTAGTTTAGTCAATTCCGGAGCAGAAATACACATGCTTTCTACCAGGAAGAGCTAGCTGTTATATATGGAGTAATATAACAAGAATAGAACATGGGATTAGAATACCATTTAGTTCATCCCTTTATTGCCAGGCAAGATTGTGCCTAATAATGGGGTTCTTGATAATGTTCTCTGTACAAACTTCTATGTCGTTTAAAATATGATGTTTCAAATTAACGATAGTATAGCAATGGCATAAATCACAGCAGTGTATTCACCCGTGGAATCAAAGTGCTTCGTGGGTCTACAGAGACACAAACTCTCAAGGTTGGCATATGGATGTGGATTGTTACTCGTTTCTAAATCAAGGAGCCCAGAGGCCAAGATCGGTTGACTGGCCCGTGACAGACTGTTTGCTGTTCACCAACAGTCCTTTTGCCCTTCTCCGTTGCCTTAGGCACACAGCTAGGCTTCACTTCCCAAGCTCCTTTGGGTTTGGTACAGCTCTATGACCCGGTTCTGGCCAGTGGCATGTTAGTGAAGTGCTGTGTGCCTCTCCAGGCCAAGGCTTAAATGAGCACGTGGGTGCCCTCCACGCTTTCTTCTCCCCTTTCTGCTCCCTGGGTGAGCAGGCAGCTGTGAGGCCATGAGGAATAGCACAGCTACCGGATGGAAAGAGCTGGAACCCTGAATCACCACACGGAGGAGACCTGCCTACTGACTGGGGTACCCTGCGCAGACTGTTCTGTGAATGAGATGTAGGCTCTGTTTGGTGTGAGGGATCATGTACTCAGGGGTCGTTTGGTTACCTCAGTCTAGCCTACCCCAACTAATTACACTGCTCCAGGTCATTTAGAAAGTCAGCAATAAAACCTTAATCTTCTGAAGTAGTGTTAAAATCAAACATATGATTTACCAGAATACCGCTTAGTGCTTTGACATTAAGGCAAGATTTTAAAAGAACTCCAGCCAGGGCTCTGCATTTACCATCAGTTATAGGCCACAAATTTGCAGAGTCACAAAGTGGCTAACGACCAGAAATATTTTTGGCTATACCATTAAGGCAATTGATTTTGCAATTGCATCATGAAGTTACCTGCTAGGCCAAAATGGGAGGTTGTCACCCAAAATGCAGTTCTCTTGAGAGTTTCATAGACGCCTCCTAGTTCAGCTTCTCTTTTTCTGTCGGGCATATGAAAATGCAAGAATTTCTTAAGCCAACACAATGAGAGGAGTTTGAGTGAAGGCATTTGTCTGCTGTATCGATTCTGTAACCTGAAAGCTTTTTGGTTGATATTCAAGATTAGTATGAAAACATGAAGTGCTGATAACAGAACCTATCCACTCTTTCTGTTTATAGATTCTTTTCTGTATCTTCCCAGTTTCAGGGTTGCTTCTAGTCTTATATTACCATCATTCATATGCTAATATTTACCTGGCAAAATTAACATCATGATCATTTTCACATATCCATTTAATTCCTTTAATGAGTTTTGGCTCCCTGGAATCTGAAATTTCCTTGTTCAGTGGCTGGGGCATATTAATAAGTTGTTGAACTCCTGTGGATTGAATTTGCACAAAAATACTCTTAAGAATAAATTGTTTATCTTCCTTATATCCCACCCCTGCCCTTACTTTGAGATAAAACCATAGTGTTACATCCCAAAAGTATTCAATGCTTTCTATTTTTCTCTTTACATACTGTCTTAATACTTACTTGAGGCAAAACTGACATAAGATTCATTGAGAGTCTTTCTGGTGTGAACCACTCGTTATATGATTTGTGGATAATAAATATGGTACAGATACAGTTTATGTTATTTTGGTAAACTTGAATTCACTTATCTTGAAGATTCAAATATTAGGAAATTCTATCTTTCCCCACTCAATTGCACTTATAACGTAGAAATTGATGTTAAACAGGTTGCAATGCTGTAATTTAATGGAAATTATGATAATATGAAAAACTGTTCACGCATCTGTATGTTGCCTGCAGCCTTGAATTTAAGGAATATCACTTGTGTTGGACCTTGAAGATCTCAATATTCATTATCTAAAGAGAAGAGCATAAATTACACTTTGCCACTGAATAAACATTAACCCAAAGGAGAATACAGTAACCAATTTCTCTTACACATTAAATTACTGCTTCTACTATGATAAAAGAGGTGGAAGTAGGTCAGGATTGGTCTTTTCTACATTGCTCAAGAACACTAGAAGGATTAAAAATTTATGGATTACCTCCTAGAAACAGTGATCTGGTACAGAAATGTAATAAAACACCCACTCTCCTATATCTTCCTAAGCTGCTCCATGCCATTTCATTTTCGGATTGTATTAGTGTGACAACTTTCCAAAGCCACAGAAACTGTCTTTCGGCAAAGATGAAGATTTTTAAACCAGAAGATTTTTGATTGAAAATCCAGGGACAGATGGTGTAGAAAGGTAATGTTAAAATGTAAATCAAATAGAGTCTCATTTTGTGTATATTCTGTATAGTTGTAATTTTATTTTACTTAGATCACTGATAAGGACAAGCAAAAAGACTGAAATGAAAAGGTATGGCATTAAAAATATCATACAATATAAATGTCTTTTTGGGTAAAATTGTATGAAAAATGCAATATAATTATTAAAGATACGTGAAATCTTCCAGTAGCAAAAGCTGGCAAAAGTACTTCTTAAAAGAGTTATATTTAGTTCTGAAAGGTTATCTATTAATGTTTCTTTAACCTTTCAGATACTTCTAAGTCTTTGTTGTTTTTCAAGAGTCTCCTAAAGCATGTGTATTTGTATAATATTTAATGGTGGAAAATAACCTAAGTGGGACTGTTTAATGATAGATGTAACTGAATGTGGGGGGAAATTAGGGCTTTTTATTTGTAAGTGTCTAAAAACCATGTATTTCTTACATATTGATGGGTACTTTCAGATAGAGTTTTTTGTTTTTGGCCCCTTTCTTTGTTTTCCGCTCATGGCCTTTTATTCTTCAATAATGAGACACATGAGAGCATACATAGTTATAAACTTTCCATTATCTGTTTTTGAGCTGAAATTGCCCTGTGGGTTTAGTAAAGGTAATGGAAATATGAATATTTTACTGTGCAGGCATTTTCTGCTTTCTCTAGAGTCCTGCATTTTTTGTTTTTGGCCAGATATTTCTTTTTTTTTTTATTGAAGTATCATTGATATACAATTTTATATTGGTTTCAAATGTACAACACAGTGGTTCAACAGTTACCTATATTATTAAATCCTCACCCCCTCTAGTGCAGTCACTGTCTATCAACGTAGAAAGATGTTACAGTGTCATTGACTATGTTCTGGAGTCCTGCATTTAAAGTAATCTACTGAAAACCAGAGGTTTGGGAGGAAAAAACGCCCACCCACAGTTTATACTAATGGAAAATGTGAAGAAAAATCTCAAATTCTTGAGTCAGTGAATCTCTGAACATTGCAGAACATCATCTATAAGAAGCAGCCAAGAGATCTGTTGAAAGGCATTTCACACCAAAGAAACGAGCCATGCAGCTTGCAATTGCTAGAAATACATCAGCGGAACCTAACTGACAAGTAATCTTCATATTGTGGTGTGACTTCTCAGAATAAGCAAGGAAGCTTTTCTTCCCCCCTAAAGAAGTTGACCGATTTTTGAAGTTTTGGATTGGATAGATCTTTCCTGATGTGAGTGAGAAAGGTCTTTTTGAAAGGTATCCTTCACCTTAAGAAGGAGCAGTCTGGATTTTGACCTTCAAACTGGAGACTGGTAATAATGCAAAATAGGTTTCAGAGGCAAAACCAGTGAGTCTAGGTTATTCTTCGTTAAGTCTGGCAGATGGCAAATTTATTAACACTGTGAAGCAAAGGAGAACTGATCTTTCATGGAAATGTGGGTCAGGACCGCATCTATCAGACCTGTGTATGTCACAGACTGGGCAGAGCAAATTAACTGCTGACTACGCAGTCCCGCGGCAGCTGCGATAGTCACCTGTCCTCCAAGACGCAGACTGGGGGAAAAGTGCATTATAAAAGCAGAGGGCAAGCCTTGGCTTTCTTTTGATCTACCCAGAGTTCGAATACAGTTTTACTTAAAGCTGTCACCCTCAGATACATGTATACCAAAATACTCTACTTTTGACTTTAAACCAAGAACACAAGCGACAAACCTCTGAGGACACAGCACTTCTCCCAGTAACTATTTAAGCGGTTAGGTTTTGTATAGAATCGACCAAACAATCTTGACCCAACAATTCCTGGATAAGAACATTGATAAAGTACATCGGAACCTTGCCCTGATGACAGCGCCAGGCTTCTGGCGCTTCGATCTTCATATGCTCCCTGCTGGAGGGGAGGATAACGTTTCCTCAATACTCTTAGGGTTATTGGCTGGGTCTGGAATTTAAGCTGGCAGAGATGAAAAGGAGTAGGGCATACAAATTTATTTAATCTAAGTTTTATGTGACACAAGAGCTTTCGTAAGGAAATGAAGACCCAAGGAAACTGTTAAAAACTGAATGTTTTTATGCTAGGTTTGATGGACAGCGAGAAGCTGTGGAAAGATATGAGAGGACGAAGAGGATGAGCTGAGAGTGGGAACTGGGGAAACTTCAGGCCTGTTTGTTCAGCTTCCTTTCTTGTCCCGTAGTCTTCCTGATAAGGGTGCTCCTTTGGGTGCAGAGAGGGCGCCTCTCCTGTGAGGGGCTTATGACCTGTTTTCGGGGAAGGTCAGAAAGTCCTTCCCGCACCTGCCATTTCTCAGGTCCCTTCATATTCAAGATATCAAGGTGCCATATTTTGCTGTAGCATATTCTGAACCCTGCCACTGCCATAGAAATATTTATCTCTCACATTGAACATTCATACATTTTATCTTCTTTAATACTCAGCACAGGACAGGGCAAGGATGTTTATCCTTGTTTTATTTAGGGGAAAGTGGGCATTCTGTTAGAGGAAGTGACAGCCTGCTTCCATAGAGGGGGAGCCAGCACCCCCACAGTACTGCCCAGCCCCCACTGTCCATGGACTCATCTGGGATCTCAGCTCTTTTGACACCCAAGAAATCATGTAGCAAACAGGTAAACCAATGCTAACGTACCAGTGGGGGTCTAGAGGACCATCCCCAGGCGACACGCATTTTATCTGAGCGAGCGAGCCACTAGCAGGTTCACCGTGGCTGCTTCGGGGAAGTATGAGGGATGGGTTTGTGTTGGTAAAGTAGTGGGGCTTCATTGTGAAGCAAGCTGGAAAGGGGAAATGCAGACAAACCCTGTGTCCATAACGTTTTGTTAAATAGCACAAAAACATTGAGAACTGTTTTTTGAAGGACACTCAGGATTGACTTAACTCTTAATTTTGTGACTGCAGTTTTCTCTGCGTTGGTGCTGGCTACAGGCTTTCTTGTGTTTTGCTCCTTCACTGCTGAACGACTCAGTACACTCCCTCCCACAGGACTGGACGTCGGGAGATCTGTTCCCTGGCTTCCCCTCCTTCTCTACAGGCGTGACACGACAAGGCCACAATACGCTGATATGGTTACAGCTTCTGCTGTATCGGAGTCACCTGTGAATCATACGGTATTTGTTTTTCTCGGTCTGACTTATTTTACTTAGCATAATACCTTTGAGGTTCGTCCCTATGGTTGAAAATGGCAAGACTGCCTTCTTTTTAAAGGCTGAATAATATTCCATTGCAGCTATATAAATACTACATATTCTTTATCCATTCATCCACTAATAGACACTGTAGTTGCTTCCTTTATTATTCTCTTCTCAGTATTTCTCTGCTTATTAGAATTTCCATTAGGAAATTAGGCGTTGGGAGGGGGGAGGTTAGAAGAGGGGAGACTAACAGCATAAAGTGGCGGGTAGTAAGTGCAGAGGAATGGAGGTGATGGCCAGGGCTGAGTTCCCGATGGAGGACACTCAGGGAGGCCATCACGCAGGAGGCGGGACGTGCATCGAGTCTTAGTGGAGGTGGACAGGGCTAGGACAGGCTGAGAGGAGAGGGGGAGGTGCCGGCTCCTTCCTTTGCTGTATGTTTTGTTACCGAGGACATCATATGGATTCTCGTTGGGTTATATCCTTGAGGAACATTTCTTAGAGCCCTCTTGGGAAGAATGTTCTCCTTCTCTCCTGTTTGCTGGGAGATGCTTAAGCAGTGTCTCACCCGTAGCTTTGAGACACCCACCACCTGAGTGCTGTCAATCAGAGAGTTAAACAAACTGCAGTCTTTGCTCCGCCATCTGGTGACTGGCACCTTGGGAGGAGGCACTGAACTTCTCTGGGTCTGTGCTTCCATCTGACAAAACGGGGTCAGTAATCTCTCCCTCCCAGGCTGATGGACATGGAGGCATTTTCCCACATTGAGAAAATGCGAGCCAGTTAACTAAGGTAGTGCCTTACCCATGGCTCTCTTCCCTCCTCACCTGCCATGCACGTTAGATTTGTTTTATGAGTTGGGGGCAACTGGCATGGCTCTTGGCAGCATGTGAAGGACGTAGTACTTCTGCTGAAACACTCGTGTCTGGAATTTGGGTCAGTCCAGACCCAAGCCTGACATCTCACTGGTGGCCTCCCAAAGACCCTCGTCCCTGTCTGGGTAATGGATGGTTCACACTTTCTGGTACATTGCCATCCATAACCCTCAAGAGCCCTGGAAAGCATGCCAGCTGTCAAGAGCATTAAGGACTGGCTGGCAGAGTTCAGGACTGAAAAGTGCTGAGCCCAGGCATATATGTTAAAAAATGAGGACATTTGTTAGCTAAGGACCTAGGTAACCAGAAGTTTCCCAGCGAGCTGGTCTAGCACAGAGCGATGGCAATTTTTCTTGCGTGTGTTTTCCTGGGTGGCCTTCTAAAATCCTGTAGTTGTGTGGTCAGATGGGGCAGGCACAGAGAGAGAGGCAGAAAGGGCCTGTGTGCTCTGTTTAATTAATTGAAGCACATTATTGGGAAAATGGCTGTTGTGAGGAGGAGAATCTAGTTTGAGAGCTTGTTCTCAGCTTAGAAATTGAAGAAAGATTTTTTTTGGCATTATCACAGGCCCCCCAGCAAGCTAAAGAACACCGCTAACATTTAAAGCCGAATGTACTTTCCGAGTGAGTCAGGTGCACATCTGTAAGTCCTGTGTCCTTAAGCTCCAGGGTTTCTGTTGAATTAACAAAAATAACAAGAACAGTAACAACAAATGACAAAGCATTTCCAGTCAGAGATGGACCCAAGACAAAAAACCCCTGAACCCAAAAAGGTAAAAGCAGATGTTCCAGCACTGGCTGCTAACCCCGGAGGGGGCACTTCTGTAGCTCTGGGAAGTTGCTTCTACCAGGCAACCGACCGGTCTCACGCCCACAGGGTCACCGTCTTCCACGGCTGCAGGGGCCTCCACTCTCCATTTCTGGCTTGAATTCTCAGCCAGCCAGTAGAGGTACTGGATTCGGGTCGGAGAAAGCATTGATTCCCCGGGAGATGCGTTTGGCCTTGGTGTGAGGGCAAGGCCTTCGAGCAGCTCTTGGAGGTGAGAAAGTGATCTTACTGTTGCTACTCTCCTTCCCTCTTTTTCTCACCTTATCATTAAATGGTGGAAGAAGAGTCACTTTTCTTGAAATGTTTGAAAATAGCCTTTTAATGTTTTAGGTAACTGACTGAAGTGTTGTTCAGAGTGGCCTTTGGGCTGGAAAGTTGGATAATAATCTGGTGGATAAGGGAAATTAAAGGTAATTTTAACTATGTGAAGAAAAAAATTGATATATTGTTATTTAGAGATGGTGTTACGTGCAGACTCCATTTCACTGGAGACCTGAGCCTCTGTAAGGTGATATTCTAAGACACTTCAGAAAAAGATACCCTAATTAGAGTAAAGAATTTTAAAGGTAGTAGAAGAAAGGGAGTGTGTTTGTCACCCATAAGCTGAAGGATAAACTTTCTTTGCCTCTGAAGGCAAAGAAATATAGTGAAACTTCTTTTTATTATATTTCTGAAGTTAATGATTAATTGATGTTATGACAAAGTGTAACCCCATGCCCACTCCCCACCATGTTAAAGCCTGGATTTTTGTTTTCCATGTAAATAAAGACTGAGCATCAAGTTATCACTGTGTAATTCATAGACACTGAGAAGTGACTAGTGGTTACTGAGGGGGCAGGGGGCGGGGTTGGGATGATTGCAGAGGGGAGGGGGGTGAATAAATAGGCACAATAATTCACAATCACAATGTAAGTTGATCACAGGGACTGTGATGTACCACTGTGATGTACGTTTGAAACCAACATAAGATTGTATATTAATGCCACTTGAATTAAAAAAAAAGAAATTATGGTAAACTAAAAAAAAATTATCACTATGTAATCTATGTGAAATATTAATTTCAACATATTTTTTGTTGAGTAACTTTTTTGATAGAAGTTGAAATTTGATTTTATTCTCTCTAAAACATTTGAAATAAAGTATTTCTGGGTTTTCACGGTGCTTATGATGGTTGAGCTCATAGTGAGATATCTCTAGATAACCTGTCAGGCTGAGAAGACTCAGTGTGTGTGTTAAATGTTAGAGTGAGTTAAAAGCATGTTGTGACACTGGTTAAATGTTGTAGCTGTATCTGTGTGCAGACAAATTGGGAGATGAAATCCTGATCACAGTGGTTTTTAACCTGGGACCTGTGGAAGGCCTTGAGAAATTCTGTGAGGGCCCTGGGATTAAACATGGGATTTTGTGTGTCTGATTTTATCTCAGCAGAGGATGGGTCCCTTTCATCAGATCTCCAAAGGGTCCATGTCCCCCGAAAATATTAAGAGCCACAAAAACTTGAAAATTGTCAGTACACTGGACTAAATTTTAAAAAATTGATAAAAATTGATCTGGGCATTTATACGTTCTTTTTCTGCATGAAATAGAATGTTAGATATTATAGGATATGCAACTTAACATTCCATTAAGGATTTAAAATCCCCAGGCAACAGCTGTAAAAATTGTTTCACAAATAGAGAAGTTAGATTAAAAAAAATTAACCTTGTGTTAGTTTGGAATGGTTTTAGTAATTCAAATGAAATGGTTCCTAAGAACTAGTGAACTCTAAGGAGGCTGGAAGCCACGCGATGTGTGCAGTGGCACCTGTGTGCCACTGGCAGGCGCTGTGGCACAGGGAGTGAAAGGAACCCAGTGCTACTATTACTCTCGGTGAGACCTTGGACAGGTCATTTAATCTCGCTCCAGGGCAGTTTGCTATCTGCAAAATGAGAACTGTTCGCAGTGTGTTTCAATGAGACTGAGAGAGGATAGACGACAAAGTGTTTTTCAAAAAGTGCCCTGTGGCCATTACATATGTTGATAAGGATATTAAGTATAAAGAGTAAGGTGTACGGTAGTAGTTATAATTTGACTTCTTTTGTGTATGAATTTTTATTCAAATATGTCTGTGTTGATAATATATGGAATTGTTATTTTTTACTAGACAGATAAAATCTATGGTTGCTAGAGAATTGAACTAGGAGGGGGAGGTGTCTACTTTTCATTTTATTACTTGTATTAAAAGTATTAGCAGGGGTATCTGGGCGGTGGGGTTATGGGTGTTTTGTACGCAATGGTACAATGTACAGGAAAGGCAGGGTGAATTCTCGGTTCTTTTCTTTATTTACTATTCTCAAAACAATGAGTTGGTTCCCTAGCATCTCCTGATCTGATGTTGGGTTCATTTTTGTGAATTTTTCAAGTACTATTATGAACTACTGTACCAAAGCACATAAGATGCGTTTCAGTCAATTCCGGTCGTTATCCATATTGATGCTCAAGCTGTCCACACCGCTCTCCCTTAAACTCACTTCAGCAATCCCCACCACTCCCGTCAGGGTCACCATTAGCCTCCAGCAGCCAGTCCTGAGTTCTCCTTATTTTCTAACTTAAACGTTGGGATAGAATTCACATACCATAACGCTCACCCTTCAAAGAATACAATCGAGTGTTTTCTCCAGCTCATTCACAAAGTGGCGCTGTCGTCACCCCTCTCTGAGCCCAGAGCATGTGCATCGCACCCCCAGACAAACCTCATACCCATCAGTAGTTACTTCCACTTTTCGCTCCCCCAGTTTCTGGTAGCCACTAATCTGCTCTCTGTCTCTATGGATTTGTGTATTCTGGACGTTTCATATAAATGGAATCATACAGTATGTGGCCTTTTGTGACTGGCTTCTTTCACTAACCATAATGTTCTTGAGGGTCATCCATATGGTGGCATGAATTGTGAGTCCTCATCCCGATGTGATTTCAGGAGCATTTGACGTGGTTGATCACTTATGTTCCTCCTACTTCGCTGGCTACATCTCTCAGCCTTCTCAGATGCTTCCTCTCTGTGTTTCAGTCCTCTTCCTATCGGTAAGCCCAGGGCCTAGACATCAGACCCCTTTTCTTCTTTACATACACTCCCCAAGGCCCTTCATCCAGTCTCAAAGATTACATCCTATCTATATGCCATGGATTCCTAAATTTGTATCCCCAGCCTAGACCTTTCCTCTGAATTCTAGAGCTGTATCTTCCTCTCTTCTTGGATGTCTAGTGTGCATTACAAAAGTAACATGTCCAAAATGCACTCCTGAGTCACCACACCTCCTGCTTTCCCCTTTGTTCCTCCCACAGCCTACCCTCCAGTTGCTGAGACCAAAAACTTTGTGGTCATTCTTGACTGTTTTTCTCATCCCCCACTTTGTATCTATCAGCAAATCCCACTGGCCTTTCCCTCAAAATACATGCAGAATCCGACTCCTCATACCTTCACAAAGTCCCCTTGTCTGAGCCCCTGTCGCCTCTTGGATATGGCAATAAACTCCTGATTGGTGTCCCTGCCACCACCCTCTACCGTATATTCTCCCAGAATTGTTCAGTGGGTTCCCATATTGGTCAGAGTAAAAGCCAGAGTTCTTACAGTGCCTCATAAGCCCTGGCGAGGTGCTCTGCCCCACACTCACGCCCTGCTGCTCTTTACCTTGCTTTCTCTGGTTCAGCCACACTGGAGTCCTTGCTTTGCCTCTTGCAGCACATGTTCTCACTCGAGGCCTTTGCACATACTGTTCTTCCCGCCTAGAAAGTTCTTCCTCCAGCTATCTCAATTCCTCATCTTTCGCTCTGTGTTTAATGTCACCTAATTGATGTAGCCCTCTCTGACCACACTGTTTAAAATAGTGTGTGCACCCAGTCCCATCCCCACATTCCCTACGCCACTTGCTCCACTTTTCTTTTTCCCAGAGCACTTACCTACTGACACAGGCATACACACATAAATATATGCACGCCCCTGTGCACACATGTAAGCACATTTTCCACATATACATACATGTAAGCATACATGTGCCCACATTTTTATACCTATTCATATATGTATGCACACACATGCATCTACTTATTTATCTATTGCCTGACTTTCCCACTAGAATGTAAGCTTTGTAGGTACAGTAGCTTAACTTTGTTGCCCTCTGTACTCCCAGCCCCTGGAGTTGTGCTTGGCACATTGCAGGCTCCCAATATATTTTCACTGAATGAGTGAATGAACTGTCTAAATCTTTCCTCCCCAGAGACAAGTGGCAAAAGCAGAAACTTTAAAGCATTATTTTGGCTGCTTTCTGCTTGGTGTGAACTAGTAGGGGCCTGCTGTTTCCTTTCCAACACTTGGGCTGGTCAGGGATGACACGGTCCCTTCCAACTCTGGGCTCACAGTGATTCCTGTTGGATGTTTGGCCCACACATCTTTCTCTTTGATCTCTGCAGCATCCTTGGGGACCCAAAATACATGTCCATCTGTGCACCTGGCTCAGAGCCCTCTTCTCCTCCAGGTGTATGGATGCTTGGCTGTTGGGTAAAGATACCAAACAAAGAAAGGAAGATTGTTTTTGGGGCTAAGGATTACTTCCAAAAGCCAAATGTGATAGAAGTGTTATCACAGAGCTTAGTATACACAAATAGCTTGAAAACTGGCTTGAACGATTCTTCTTGCTACAAATAGAAATGGAAAGAAATTCTGAATGTGGTCCCAAACAATGCAACTTTCTGAATCAGGAGGGCATTTCTTCTCCTCCCTCCCTCCCTCCCTCCCTCTTTTCTTCCTCAGATAGGATATCAAGAGCCAGAGAAATGAGACAAACCTCTTGGGTCACATAGTCAATGGCAGAGTCAGAGCCCAAAGTCAGCCTCCTAATTCTCACTCTTTGGAATACATGCTGCCTTCCTAGTAAACGGGGAAATAGTCAGGAAGTGCTCGTTAACTATCTTGGGGAAGTTAACTGCTTAGATCTTACCAGTGGACAAGTAGCCGGAGTATCACCCAAAAAATGGAAAAACGAGTATTTCTTGGTCTTTAACCACTTTAAAGCTTCCAGTTTATCTCTCTAGATTTCTTCAAAAGCTATTAATCTTTAGCTGAAATCATTATTTGCTCTTTGCTTACATAGAGCTTATATCCTTCTGTGGGTGAGAGGGAACAGAAAAGGGTTTCTTTTTGGTGTCATGGAATTATTCTTCAGTTAGATAGTGCTGATGGCTTTACGACTCTGTGAAGACACCACTGAATTATACATTTTAGAATGGTTAAAACAATGACTTCTTATGTTATGTGAATTTTATTTCAATAAAAAATGGCATCTTAGAAGCTTAAGTGATACATATATTTGGATCATCTTGTTTGAACTAAGTTTCTGTGCTTTTTATTGCAAGCAAGCTTTCCTCTTTTTATATTTTGTCAGAGTTTGGTTTGGTCTTGAGGCCATGCTAAGCTGCAGTTAGGGCCTGTGCTTCTTGAATTTTATCAGCACCTGTACTGTGGTCGTTTTGTCACATTCAGAGGGTAGGGAGGAAGCCCGGCCATCACCAAAATTGGGTCTGCCTAATGGCAAAACATGTGATGAATTTAATCTAAAAGTCAAGCTGGGAAAAATAGACTCTTGGGAGTCAGGACTGTAGTTGCCCTTGGTGGGGAGAGAGGATGGCTGTGACGTGGAGGGAGCATGAGGGGGTTTCTGCAGTTTTGGGGATGCTCCTGTTTTGATCTGGACACTGGTTACATGGGGCTGTTCAGTTTCTGAGAATTCATCCAGTGGTTTGCTTCCAGTAAGTGCACGGTTCTGCATATTTGCTACA